TTTTGTTGTTGGCTTTCTTAAGACTTTGTGCTGCCTACCTGTCCTGGTCAGCTATGCTCCTCATTGCCCAGTTTCACTCATGAGATCGTGAAGAGGCCAAGTGAGCCTCAGCAGATGTTTGTGAGGTTGGGCAGGAGCTGAATTCCCTCGGAGCCGTGCTGCTGGCTGAAATTCACCCTGTGACATTTCTCCATGCCTAAATGCCCTTCATATGGCAGAAGACTGTACGCCCTTAAGGGAATAAACAATGTACATAACCTATGGAGATACGGTAAAAATGAATTTGTCTGTTTAAAAGTTAATGAGAAATAAAAATTATTATCACTGTTTCTTTTCACTAGTATGAATAATCCCTCTTGAAATTTCATGCTGCTGAGGAAATAGATACATGCATTTTATTGCTTTTATCAATCTCACTCATTCATTTCTTAGTGCAAGGCCTTTCCAGAGGATTGGCAATAGCCTTTCTTTCACAACAGCTTGATTTAGGAGTGTTGCTACCCATCGTTGCTACGTTGGTGGTGAACTGAAATGTTTATGAACTAATCTATACTGTCCTCTCAAACCATAGATTTTGGTAATGGAAAGTTCGGTTTAATGCTCTAATAAACTGTGGTCTGATATGTACTGTGCCAATTCATCTAGAAGGTAGATGTGAGAGTAAAATTTTATTTTTTCAGCAACATTTCAGCTTTCATTTTGAAGTAAATGTAAGTGCCTGGGTAAATAAGAAAGTATTGCATTTTTCATTATGAAATAAATGAGAAATAGGTTACTGAGGAAGCATCTTTTCTTCATTACACATTTGAGCACTTCCTTGTATCCCTATAAAAGTCAGCCTTCCCGGCATAAGAAGGGTATAGACTTAAAGCTGCAGCTAGTGCATGGACAGTAAGATAGTACTTGGAAGTAGACTGTTGGAATGTGTTGTGTTTAAAGCCCAAGACTTGGTTGAAAACCTGCTGAAGTGGAACAATTGTTCGTGTAATAATGGTATGAAATAACATGAGAGAAGCTATGTGAAAAAGGAGAATATATCAGCATGGAAGCAAGTTTACCATCACTGGGAGGGTTACACTTGTGCAGTTTGTTCAGACAGGAGTGTTATACATACTGTGGCTCTTTAATACCTCAGTACTAACAGAGAGAAGATGGATGTGAAGGTGGAGTGGGCTTAGTGATGTGAATGGCCAAGTTTGCCTGCCAGAAAGAGGACCTCTTTGCCAAGCTCTCTCTTCGTGGGTTTGCCATTATGGCATGAGGGTCTGGACTAGCAGTTCTGTGTGAAGGACCCAGGTGATGTTAGATAGTGATGTCAGGCACCTCAATAATAGGAAATAATCACATATATTGCTGTTGTGTAAGTGTTGGAGATGTCTCCAAATAGATGGCAAATCTTTGGAGCCTTGGGCTGATGCTATGAGGTGGCAGTGAGTATATATACTGGCTACGGTAGTGTTAGGGTCAGTTAGTGCACTTTCCATTCCTTCTTGCTTTAGGGAAGAGTGACACAGCGGTTGTGCTTCCTTGGTTTCTTAGTCTGTAGGTCAGAGGGAGAAATGACCAGTGTCTAGCAGCTCCTGGGAGTGAGAAAAGCAAGCTGCATGGAGAGGTTTGTGAGGAGACATGTCTGAACAACCTTTGCCCAAACGAGCTTGGGGCAGTGGGTGGACCATGCTGTGTACAACATTCAGGTTCTGTAAGACCAGTAAATAATTCCTGACACATCAGGCATGCCTGACTGCTGTGCTTTGGTGCTCTGGATAAATGCCCCTTTCTGTCCCTCTGGTGTCTATTTCCGCACAGAACTGTACTGGCCACTGGCTGAAGACACTTCTTTCAAAATAAATTAAATTCTAGTCCAAAACTAGAGAGAACATTGAAGGAGTGCAGAAACAGTTCTTCCTTTTAAGAGCCCAGTGTCTGTGTTTTTGACACTTGACTCCTGCATGTGAAAGGAAAGCACCTGTAATGTGAGTGGGGCGATGGGGACAGGAAGCTGTGCCTGATGGTCTCTTTGGTGGGTGTGGATACTGTGGACAGCTGTGCAAGCCCATCTGGGATATTTCCAAAACAAAGCATGTTGCGTAGGACAAAACAGCTTCTGCCTTTTGCTAGCTGAGAATCCAGACCCTTGAGCGGTGCTAGACAGATGGGCGCTGTTCCTCTTGCAGCTTCCTGCTGTCTGAAATCCATCCTGCTCAGTGCATGTGAATCTCTTCCTTAGAGGGGCTTCTTGGCTATCCCTGGCCTGGCAGAAACAGCTGTGGAGATGTCTTTGCTCATATGTGTGGTATACAGCCTGTGTCAAGAGCAGAATTACATTCTTGGGCTTGGTGACCACCTCTCCTCAATTTTTCTGACTTTTCTGCCTTGGTTTTGTAGGATGCCTGCTTGATGGTGCTGGTTGTCGTATCTAGTGCTGCATACCAAGGGCCAGCGTTTTGCAGCTTGACCTTTTACTGGGGATTTAGTTCTGCTCCAGAGGAGTTCAACTGTCAGTTGTGTTGAGTAATGGAAAGTATGTTCATTAACAATGTTCTATTTAAAATACAAAGCAAATGTAACGATGGCAAGAGGTGTCGAGTGACAGGGACTGAGAATTATTTTTTCCATGCAGAGTATGAGCAGATGCAGAGCAGCCTTCCCCAGCTGCTGGGGTATCCAGCCTCTCCTGGCGGGTAAAGGAGGAGCTTGGTCATGGTGCATCGTGTACTGTACGGGAGTGCAATGGTACTTCTTGTGCAGAGTATTTCTTTCCTTAGGTGAACAAAAAACATAAGAGGAAGCAGCCTTTTTTGAGGAGCATTCCCTGGGATCAGAGCTCTGAGCAATGCTTGTGTTACTAGTATGGAGGCAGTGGGTTGAAACAAGTTCAACCTTTAAATGGTTTTGAGACAAAGTAGGAGGTTTACCTGCTTTCCTACAGACGAGGCACCAGAGCTGTTTAGGCATTTCCAAACTGTGCTTTTGGGTAGGGTATCTTTTGGATGGGATTATTGATTGAATTAAAGCTGACTGTGAGAGAGGGTTTGGTGTGTTTTTCAATTAAAAAAAAAAGTCATTAAATTTCCAAAACACCTTGATTCTACATTTTCAAAACAAATAGGTGATTTGAAGCTGTTGCTAGCTGAAAGAGGCTAGTATATCAGGAGTTTGCTGTTCTTTATAAATGACTGAGTTATTTAAGATCACCCCAAAATGTTTTTGTCTTATAAGAATATGAACACTGTTTCAGATATTTGTCTCTGTCTAAATTTGGGGAGGAGAATCTCTTAAAATTACTAAAACCTTTGGAAAGTATAAAAATCCATTCCCTATGCAGCTCTATGAAATACTTTGAGATTCAGTCTGTTTAATAGAAAAGGAATGGTCTCTTTATTTTCATCTGTTTTGTATGAAAAAAATATTTCTGCTCTTGTTTTTGCAAAGTGAGAATAGTATTGGTAAGGTTACCTTGGTTCCTTGCAATTAGAGTTCAGAGAAATAGTAAGATTGGTTATGTCTCATAATCTGGCATTTTGGCAAAACCAACACAGTGAGTTTTTAAAAATGGGAGGCTTAAACCTGCCTACTTCTGTGCTGATGAGAAATCATCCCATTTGTAGTCTAGGCTTGGGCCCCAAATATTTTAGAAATTAATAAAACTTGCAATTTCAGAAAGGAAAACATGATGGAAATTTCAGACTTTCCTTTAGGACTGCACCCAACCTTGGACTAGGCTGGTTCTGTGACTTTGTGTCAATGCAGTGTGATGGGGCAGTGTAAAAAGGAGGCTGACAGCATATATGGTGAAATGTTGTTTTAGTTTTTGTTTGTTTGCTTTCCCAGCAACTGAGATCCAGCTTTCTTGGAAAGAGCAACCATGTGGAGCATGTGTGTAGGCAGTATGTTGAGAAACAGTAGGGTGTCTAGCAGTCCCTTGAGAAATGCCCTCTAGGCTAAGTTCCTATAAATAACTTATCCTTTTAGGATAAGGTTCCTTTTTTGTTTGTGGGGGTTTTTTTCCTTCTTTCGGTGATGAGTTTTTCCTATTACGCATGTAGCAACTGCCTGTAAACTACCTGCTGGCATAAGTCTCTGCTCAGAGTATAATGCAGAGACTCATTCGGCTTTGTCTACCACCATGGTGAGGGTTTAAATGAGAGATTTTTTTGGGGGGAAGCCTTGGAAAAGAAGCAGCTGCCATTTCGATGGCTGTGGTTTATTCTGGTGCCTGCTGCCCCCACTCTGCCCTCCTGCACCTGTTGGCACTTGAATTATGGTCATTTTGTGCATAGTAACTTAAGGTGAAGTTGGATTTTAACAGGACAAGCTGATAGATGAGGATTAAGGCAGTTTCATGAATGCTTAAGGAAAAGAGAGAGGAGCTGTCTAAGGGTGGGGATGTGTAGGTAACAATACATCCCCCAGAGCTGGTCATTCCCACTGTCACTGCAGAAGAAGTAACTGGACTCCTCTTGCCACGGTTGAGGGCGTGACAGCCCCAGGGCTGGTTCCCAGATACAGAGCCTTTCAGGGTGGCTGATACTTCTGATTGCTTTTTCTAGTTGTCCATAAAGCTGTAACTACAGGTGGTAACTAGGACGCCTTCCCAATAGTACTGTGGACTTGCTGTTGCAGCTTTATGGAGGAGATTTTGCTGGGAAGAGTGGCTCTGTGTGGCCCATGCAGCTGGTTTTGGGTCTTGCCTGGTGTTTCAGGGCAGGTGTCCCCTTGGGAGCTGTTCTGACAGCAGCTACCAGGTCTCTTTCTTCCAAAAATGTTTAAGTGCTGATATAGGTGGTAGTTACCTATTTACTCCTTTTCCCAGTCCCCAAAGAAAACACTTTTCATTCAGATTAAGTAGAGTGACCTCCTGGAGATGTCTCTTTTATTTTTTTCATAAAACTTTATTTTGTGAAATACAATATACAGAGAAAATAAATTAAGTGTTCAGGGCTGCTTTGAGTGTGTTTGAACAGCTGTAGAGGGGAAAAAAAGACTTTATAGCCACAAAGTGACCACAGGGATTTATTGATGCTTTATTTTCCCAAGAAATTACACTGTTTCAATGCAAACAACATGGAAAGAGATGGTTGGGATAGATGGATCCTGGATGGTAGCAGTTTATTCCATCTAGCTTGCCTTGGTGAAAGTTCAGGTTTTTAAATGAAAGTGTAGTGACCTGGAGGTGATACCCTGGATGCGCTGGTAAAAATGGTGGGGTTGGAGGCACATCATACAGGTCTATGCAGTTTCCATGTTGATGATGACAGACTGAGCAAGAATTTCAGGCAAATCTCGAGTGCCGTCTGGTCTTTCTGAACTTGACTTGTTCTGGGAAGGAATGGGAGAGTTGGACGTGAAGTCAATGTTGGCTGAAGAAACACTTGCAAAATGACAAATTGAGCCCCTGATTTCTATTTTGAGGTATTTGCTGTTTCATCCAGGAGTTGGGAATGTGTCTCTCTTGGGCTAGAATAACTAACAGTTCAAATAAGCCCACAGACCCATGATATTTTATGTTTGCATTTTCAAGACAGCTGCTGGATTTTTCTTTGGACAAAATAGCAGCAGATCAAGGTTGTGCGGGGATTCTTTGTTGTTTTTTTGTGGGGTTTTTTCCCTCTACTTGTAGAATAACTGCTAAATGATTGCGTACTTTTGAAGCCCTCTCTTGACTATTGATCCTGACTGTTAGAATAATCTTTTTTTCAGATTATTATTTTGTTTGAAGAGCTGTTCTCACTAGTTCACACAAGTATTCAGGCTATTCTGTCTTTACACAAATCTACAGATTATCAGAAGGTGTTGATTTGATTTCTTTTTTTTGTTTGGGGTTTTTTTTTAAAAATCTCAATGTGCTTATAGTATAAATGTCTCAGACTGTCAGTTTGCATAGCTTAAACTCTAATTTTGTATGACAACAGAGATCTAGGGTGATATTTGAGCCGGAGCATTTCCATGCTTATGAATAAACTAAGTGTTTCTTTTCACAGTTTGGGTATATTTGAAAAATCCACCAAATACAGTTTCTAACCAGTTACAGAGCTGTGAACAAGACCCAGGAATCCATACTCCTGTTTTCTTTGCTTTTGGACAACAGTCTCATTTCTGTTCTATTAGTATCTTGAGGAGACTGTCATGTTGGTTTCGTACCCTATATCTGGCCATGGGCATGTAGAAGCCTTTAAGCATAGCAAACAGACAAGGTTAAGTGTGCAAAGGAGAAGAACATACCATTTGGTGTCTGGGAAGTCCACTTAAACAGACAAGATGTGCTTTACAAATGCTGTGGGAAAATACAGATATGCTAGTTAGAAGGAGCAGCAAATGTTACTTCAGGAAATACCTTTAAAAATAACAGCTGTTCATGAGCTGATGGGATTTGACCCAACAGCGTTTGACGCAAGAAAGTTATAAGTGTTTAATGTTGCACAAATCAAATTCTATTCCTGCTTAAGAGTCATAAGACTAAATATCTGATGAATAGAGGTCTTTGTCTACGCATTAGCTATGCGATTGGTTCCAATCACTGCAACTGCTTTACAGAAAGTCAGAATCATTGACCAAAGTAGCCTGCTCTGCTGTGGCTGAATCTAGTCTTTCGAGTGTTGTGACTGCAGGCTAAGCATATTGCAACAGTTGGTTTTGTGCATAAGCCTTGCAACCTAACTCAGCTGTAGTTTTGTCTGATTTCCCTGAGAAGCTAAAAGCTAACTGCAGTGAAACTCCACAAGAGAGAAGAAATGTAGGATGAGAGGGTGTTGAACTCTTGTACCTACCCTCGTAGTTGATGCAGCCGTTGGAGTCTTCCTGACCTTTCATGAGTTCATCTACTTCCTCTTCTGTCATCTTCTCACCTGGAGAGTGGAGAGAGCTTGGTAAATTCTTCCACAGACACACAACTGAGGCTGAACCCTGCAGCTTTTCCAAAGGCTTCCCTTATTTTCTGTGTTAGTAACAGACCTATATATGAACTGAGCTTTATTAATTTTAACTTTCTTTAGAAATTCTGCATGTGCATATACACGCAGGGATTCTAGTTATTCCTACTGAGTAAAGAAACTATGCAGCAAATCCTCTAACTTTGTCCAGGTGCATTACATCACTGAGGCATACAGCCTTTTCTCTCTATTCCTCAAATAACAGGCACTCCTAATATCTCGTCTGAATTTAGAAGTAATAAACCAAACCTTTTCCTTTGGGCTTTCTACTGAGTGTTGTGTTTTTGTTCCTTGTGGATTCCCAGTTAGGAAACCCGGTGTCTTGTCTGGCTTTGTAGCCTCCTACCTCTCCAAACCAGCTAGAATGTATTTCCTCCCTCTCTCATGTCTTCAAACAGCAGCAATTTTTAAAGTGCTCACAGAGGCAATAATCACTTACCCAGAGTAGCCAGTACATGACGGAGTTCAGCTCCCATGACTGTGCCATTGCCTTCCTTGTCAAAGACACGCAGACCTTCAACAAAGTCTTCATAGGTACCCTGTTCCTTGTTGTTAGCGGCTGCTTGCAACATGGGCAGGAACTCTTCAAAAGTAATTTTCTTGGCATTCATCTCTGGAAAGAAAGCACCAATTGTTACATGCTAGATGCTTCTATGTGTGTTCTTTTGGGATATTTGTCTGGAAACATGGGAGAGCTTTCCACCTCATTTGTGCACCTCTTTCTATCCTTTTGTCTAGTCTTTGCCTTGGGATTTGGCAGTTCCTTTGCAAAATCTGGATTCTCTCTTATCTTGGGAATTAGTTTTCACATCCTTGCTCCAGACCTTTTCTCACATAATTTTATATGCTTATGTGCATGTTGTATTTTTCTTTCAGAAATGAAACTTGCTGTATGAGTTGATCTTTGAAAGGATTTTGGGAGTGGGGGAACTACAGAATACAGTAAAACAGAAATCTTGAGCCCCAGCAGTGGAAAAAGGTAACCAGAGTGGGATGTTGCAACTTAGACAAGCCCCTGAGTTTCCTGACATGTTACTGACCACTTCAGGGTCTCTTGGATGTGGTAACAGAAACTATTGGCAAAAGAATAAATTAACTAAAAATAGGAATGTTGAGCGGAGGTAGTGTCCAAATTTACTGTTGACATGTTCAGTGTGGAGGTTTAAGGACTCACAAGCTTAGGGCGTCTAACCCCTTTGTTATGGGAGAGATTTTTGAATATACAGTTACAGAAACTATTTTACTACCCAGCTATATCAAAATAACTGTCAGTTATCACTGTAGTCACTTAAAGTACTGTCATGGTTTCACTTCTGTGTTAGTCTTCTGCTCAGTGCTTTCTGCTGGTGCTAATGCTTAACTTACATCTTCTGAATTGTTCCTCAGAGCTGCCTTTACCAGGCCTGAGGGTTTAGATGTAATTTAGCCTATCTTGATATGGTTCTGCATGACTGAAATCAGGGATCACCTGCAGCTAGACCCTTGTTAGGAGGTGACTACAGCATTTACCATTTCTTCTATCTCTAAGAGGGGAGAAGAGGAAATAGAAAATAGCTGCTATAATAAATGGCCAACATATGCCTCAGCATGCCCAGGTTTGTAGGAGCTTTGAGCAGACTACCTCAGCAGAAATATACAGGTGGTTTTCCAGTCCCAGGGCATGTCTTTGCTTATGCAAGAGGACTGGACTGACCTGAAGAGCTGAGTATCAGCTGTCAGAAATGGACTTACAGCTCCTCAGCAAGTGCTGGGCTCAGATGGACTATAAGCAGCTACACCAACACTAAAATGATCCCTACAGAGAATTCTCCATAGCCTAAGGAGAAGGTTTTCCTCTCCGAGCACTGTATTCCCTATCATCATCCTCTTCAAAAGGAGCAAGAGAAATTCTATGTATTGTTGCTGCAGAGTCATCCTGTTGTTCCCCCCCCCCCCCAGCCCTCTTACTCCACTATCAGAGCAAAAGTTCCTCTCCCTCCTGCTGGGACTATTGATATTGCCTAATTACAGTTCCCCAGCCTGAAGAAAGGCCCATGAGAGACTGTGGGGTACTTACCCTCTTTGCTGGGGTTGCCCAGGATTTTGTTGATCTCGGCATTTGTTGGGTTCTGCCCCAGCGCCCGGATGATATCACCAACCTGGCTCAGGGTGATCTTGGCATCACCAGTCCTGTCAAAAAGGAGGAAGGCCTCCTTGAAGTCTGCAAGGGAAAAGCAACAGTTAAATTGAGCCAGGCAGCTCCCTATTGACAAGTTGTATTGACAAAGATGCGAGCCTGTTGTCTCCTGGCATGGTTCCACCAACTCCAGGGGAGTTAGCCAGGGGAATCTTTGGCCCACAATCCCAAGGAAAAACTCCTCCCCTCTGACATTTTGATTTCACTATTTTTAAACTTTTATATCTACCTTTCATAGCTTTCCTGGCTCTGATAGCCATCAATAGCTTTGTGATTGACCCCATAGTTATTTCAAGCACGAGGAAAGATAAGCTTTCTACAAACATTGCCATTCAAGAACAGGTTTCTTTACATGATATAGCAGCAGAAGGTAAAAATGTCGTTATCCATTCCACTTTATCTCACCAGAGGACTGGGACTCTTCTGTAAAAGTCCTAGCAGTGCAAAGCATCTGTCTGCTTCGATGGGTCCTGCCTGCAATCCCAGCATCTCAGCTACACAGTGCTAGTGAGAAAATTGAAGGTTGATTTCAAATGCTTCTACTTTTGTTTTCCCTTAAAGTTGCCTTACAATGACACTTCTACCCATGTTTATTCCCTCTCTTGTCTGCCCTTTGCAGTCTGTCCCCGCTTCTTACAGATGCATGAATATCCAGCTTTTCTAGTGGTAGTACTTGTGTGGTGCCTTACTCCAGTTCATTTCTAGTGTGTACACTTTGAGACTTTGCTTCTTTCACTGTTGCCAAGTGATCAAGTTTTGTTTATTTTCCCCTTGCTGCTGACCAAGAACTTGAGGTTCAGACATTTCTCCTACAAAAATCAGCACAGACAGTTGTCTTAATTGTATTGCCAGTTTTCATCTGTTGCGAAGTTCCACGTTAATCATCTTACTATATTTTTCAGGTTTTTAGAGTATTTTTTGCAATGAATATAGAAATGCCCTTTTAAAAAAGGAGGGGTCGAAAGTCAAGGGCCTAGCTAAAAAGTCATCTTTGAACTTCATATGTCAAGAGCTTTTTGGACTGTGCTGTTGATCTCTTCTGCACTGCAGTGTCTGACAATGCTGTGTTTTAGCTCCAAGTAAACCAAGTGAAATGTCTTTTCCTTGGCCATGATGCACTTCCAGCAGCTAGACAGGCTTTGTGTTTCACAGCTTGCGTAGGTGGTATGTTCTTTGTGCCTTGGGGCAGATTCAGGAGTAATAAACCACATTTCAAATCACGTCTTCGTTCACCTTGTGCTAGGGACATGGGATGCAGAGGTTCTTGCTTTAGCCGTCCATATACCACCTTAGTGGAGGAGTTGCTGGCACCCAGTAAAACTGCTGATACAGGATGTCATCCTGCTAGGCTGTAATCTAATCCATCTGAAACTAATCCTCTTACTGTCTGATGTGAGAGACCTATAACCCTTTACTGCTAAGCCTCTCCCCTTACAGCGTTTATTACAGGGTATGAAATCAAGGCCTTCTGGACCTGTGTAGAGCTTCCCCTTACAATATACCTTGATATCTACTCCTGCTATAGCAGCTGAGGTCGATAGAGCTGTAGTGATTTATGCCATATGATCCGATCTTTCATTTGGTGCATTAATGACATTTAAGCAGAGCAAGGTATAAAACAATGCCAGTTTGCTATTAGCAAAGCCATCAGGAGAGTTTCTCTGTTTCGTAAACCCATGAAGTTTTATGTTTTATGTTTAATGCTGCTCCCAAGCTCAGAGAAAAGGCCTGATCTTATTTTTGTTTCCCAGGCATGCATTTTGCTGCAATATATCTTTGCTGTGAGTGTTTTCTTCTTAGTTTTTTTAAAAAATATATATAGCTAGTCCTAGCTTATACCTTTGCTCGAATAAGCATGTCTAAAATCCCTCTCTGAGGAGGGTGCTATCCAGCTGCTGCTGTGTCAGCCTGTGTGGATGGAAATAGTTACTGAGGGTGGGACAGTCTCTGTTCCTGGGAAACTCTCCCTCTCTCAAGTAGCTTTTAATTGCTCCGCTGCTTGGTTCAGTCATTGGAGCATTACAGCAGCTGGATGATCTGAAATATGAAGAGAAGCTAAAAGAAATATTTTGCTTTATGTATGCTAGCAGCTTTGAATTGATAGCATTTTTTCATAAACCCTCCTAATCCTATTATAAAAGTTTTAGAATTTAAAAAAGTGAGGAAGAGTCCAAATTATTTTCTTTGTGACCAGGAGTATTTGGACTGCAGGAGAAAAAATGTGTCCAGTCTCACTTACTGCACTATGCCTCTCCTTATTGCCTTAACGGTGTAACTTGGAGCAGGCTGGTGTTCAGGAAGCTTAGGGCTCTCTTTAGACCTGCATCTATCTATTTCTCTCCCTCTGGATTTCTAGTAAATCCTTGTATCTTCCATTCTAAATACTTTGCTCACAGTGAGAAGTCTACTATATTTGCTACTGAAATTTTGACTTTTTTTTTAAAGATACGTTATTTAATATAGCCCAAATGCATCTCTTAAGATATTTAACACACTCCAACTTAGATTTCCAGAGCTTCAATGGAGATTTTTGTTCATGTCAGAATTTTCAATCTGCTTGAAAGATCTGATTAAAAAACAAAAAATTGGAACTGCTGGTGGCTTGTGAAACAGAATACAGCAAGATGCCTTAGAATTGCAGCATATCCATACTGTTTTGTTTATAAACAACAGTTTACACAAGTCATGTATTTGCTATTTCTATGCTTCATGGGAATACTGTTTGTTTACAGTAAAACCAGCCTTTCTTCCTCCCCTTCCACAACACCTGTCAAGAGTGACATGTAGGCCTCTTGCATCTTCTGTTCATATAAAATTGCAATGTCACTGCAGCTAAGTTAATGTTTCAGCTCACTCCCTCCTCCTGTTGTCCTTCATCTGCCTATTTCCCCCACGACTTTCAAATGTAAGACTTGCTTTCAGCATCATTGTGAAGGACCAGTACAGGAGCACAACTGAAAAATGTTCAGTAGGTAGAGCTGGTAATGCCAGCATATTTCCTCTTCAAACCACGGCATAAACTTCTCAGCTTGGCAGCACATAAGCACCCAGATAAATTACATGTAAATCTACAGTCAGATTCCTGTTCAGCATAAGTCAGCACTGCTGCTCTGAATTCAAGAATGTGGTGATTTCTACCAGCTGAAGTCCTAGCTCATCTTTTCATAAAGGTTAAACTTCTGAGCCTGTAGCTCCTTTCTGAACCCGTGTATGTGTAAAACACATTGGCTCTCTTGTAACTTACCATCCTGTTGCTCCTTGGAGAACTCGATCTGTTGGAAGGAAATCAATCACAAAAAATAGCTTAGGAAGGGGGGGCTGGGGGAGAACCTGCTTGTTTTCTAAAGCATCCAGCTCAATCCATGAGTCATCTTCCAAAACAGCAAAAATGTGGCCTGTCAGGATGTGCAGAAGTAATGCAGATAGCAAAAGAGCTGTTAATACTAGTGAATTTAGCATTTGTTAGCCATTATGTTCCCCCTCCTACCCCCTGTTAAAGGTTTGGGTTTTTTTAATTTCACTTACCATTAATTTGGTCAGGAGTGAAGGACTGTAGTTGGGATGAAAAAGAGAGAGAAAAGAGAACTAGTACTGCTGAAAATGCACTGAGAGAAAGCAAATAGCACAAAGTAGCTGAGCGCTCTCATGTCTGTCTTGCCATAATTAGGCCATAGCAACCTAAACTAGCAACTTCCCTTGGAAAAAATGCATCACCAGGTCTATTCTTAAAGATTCTGTTGAAATCTGCATCCCAGGGAAAGCCACGGTGATAGAAGCAACAAAAATCTAAAGTCTCTTAACTAACAAAGAGGTTGTTAATGTACTATCAGGTCATTTACTATTTTAGTACAGACCTGTTTTAAGACCATTTGAAGTAATACTGCTTAACAAGCAGCTTTTTTTACATTAACATAGAAATTAAACCAATCCCTTAAAGTTTGTGTTTCAAATTAGGTTTTGACAGTCCATTGTTTCATAAACTACTAAACTATGATATTTTCGTATATAAAAATATTACTATTTTCCTTTGCCACTTTAGCAGCTTGCATCCAACTTAGAAGAATAATAAAACGATTAGCAGACAGCAGTAGCAAATTGTAACTCTTCTGTCTGAAGCTACAGGAGCTGCATATCTACTGTTGCCCGGTGCAGAACTTGAGGCTAACTGGAAAACCTCACATAGTCCTTTAGGCTTAAGGTGGAAAGCCAAGCAAACCTAAACTGTTTTCTGGACTGTCCTTCCCTTCCCTAGAACTAACTTGAGCAAGAAGCCCCATTTACTTATGTAAATCACTGGCTCGCTGCTAGCCATTAGCTTTCTAGTGGACCCACCATGGTTGAGAGTTGGAAAAGCAGAGCAGCAGACGGGCAGGAGGGATTAGCTGAGAGGTCTTGAGAGTGGTCCTGCTTTCCTGGCCTTTCTTCCTCTTATTTATCTGGTAGTGCTGACGGCATTGCCTGGATTAGGTGTCAGAAGGAAGCGGTCCCTCCCCTTGGCGAGTTCTTTAGCTTTCTTAGGGCAAAGTGACAGGAGGCTCCATGTCTTGATCGACATCTTATGATGGCTATTTTTAGGAGGCTGGAGAGGGGCAGGGAGTGGCAAGCAGTAAGTTTGATTCATGTCAGCACTTTCTGGGTCCGTACTGTCAAGAGATGTTCCTTGTCCAGACCTACCAAGAATTCCTTATAGGGAAGGATTCTATTTCTCCGATAAGCTATAGTCAGTGAGTAAGGAGCGTTGAGAGTGAGAGGTGCCACGTGTTTGCCTAGCTGGCTGGTTTTACACGTGGTTTGCAGGTTGTGTGATAGATGTAGCTGGATGGTCCTCGTACCTTCACTAGGCTTTTGCTCAACCCCTTATATGGATAATATAGTGCTCAATGTTAGATGAGTGCTGCTGCTTATCTGTTCAGTGTGATCCAATTGTTGGCACCGAGCAGAAAATTAACTTGTTGATGGAGGTGGTGTCTGACAGTGAAGCTCTTCCTCTGCACTGGTCATGTTTTCTGAAATTTGAACATTTTTAAGGGAAAAATTATCCATGCATTTTGGACCCAACTGTATTGCTAGGTTAGTGGCTGATGTGTAGACGTACCCTGCAGGGCAGCAGGCAATTTGTATTCACAGTAGCTGTGCTCTCTAGGACACTCTTCCTCTATGGCTGGGGTTAGGCAAGGCAATAGCATGCCAAATTCAGAAGTCACTGGTGTGGTGAGAGAAGGTGCTGCTGAGGTTTTTGTAATGTGGAGGCAAGGGAGAAGCCATGATAGAAGCTAAGACCCCCAAAAGGCTTTGTGAACTGGAAGAATGATGGCCCACGGTGGAGAAAGGGGTACTTGCTTTTTGGGTTGCAGAGTGGAGGAGTCGTGGTGAGACTACAAGTGGGGAGTTTCTAGGCAGGCTGCAGGAGGTAGAGGCTGCAGCTGCTTCAGTAGCAAAGATCTAGTCCCACCATGTAGCATCCTCCAAGCCCAGGTCAGATCTCTGAATTGGTGCTGTGAGACATTGTAAAAGGATTAGAAAACTCTGCTCCAAACTTCTTCCTTTCCTAGTCACCTCAACTGGGGTGAGAGTGTCATGGAGCTGGGATGGGAATGATTGTGGGATAACAACAGACTCTGTGTTGCAAACTCAAATCCCCTCTCTAATTTCTGTTGATTTCCTTTGTTGAGCATTCACTGGTCCTGGTTTTCTAATGACAAAATGTGATTAATGAGGGAAACTTTCTCCTGTAGCGGGCTTAGTTACCCTGAAGATAAGTATAACATTTGTGAATGTCTCTTTTCAGTATATTGAGGGCTCTGAAAGAATCAAATCCAAGCAGACTTTGCTGTTTGTTTGTTTTTAACTGAACAATCAAAATATTTGGTTGTATTTGAGACATTAACCTCCTACCTCCTATTTAAAAAAACTAAAGATACAACTGCAAAGAATTTTCTAAGCTTTCCATTTTAGCTGGAAAATATTCTGTCCAAACAAATCATTTTAATTTTTTTGAGAAATATCTGGAAAATGTATTGAGTATGAGAAATGCTCCACTGCTAATCTTTCACTTCTGTCTTTTTCTGCTATTTGTAATCTGTTAGCCTGTGGGAACAGGGATGCATTCAGCATGAAGGGTAGTGATGGTCAGGTGTGGTTGGATAGAAAAGGGGGTTGATGGTTTTTGTCTGAATTTGCTAACATAAGTTTAGCAGAGTGTAGACCTCCTGATTAATACTGGCTGGGGCTGGAACTCGGGCAGTGAGAGAGCTAATATAGATCTTGGCCATCAGTCCCAATGCATTAATAGAGGATCTTTCTAAAGACTTTGGCAGAGCTTAAATGCCTGGGTCAATGCAGTGTGTTGCCTTTTGTGGAATTTTCCTTCTGCCCTCAGCCTCTTGCTCTCCAGTGCTGGCAAATAGAAAATGTTCCCCTGAAAACAGGATTAAAAAAAAAAAAGGAAAACTTTGCTCAAGAAAATGAATCACTTTTTCTTACTTCAAGATAAGCTTTATGGTTGGCTACAACAAAACTCATCCCAAAAGACTTTAGATACCAAGCAGAAAATAATTGGGACACATTTGTCTTGGACATAGAAAATTGATACCTAGATTAGCCACCTGGCTTGAATTGGCTGTCAAATATGTATAAATTGAGAGGGGTCTACATATAAACTGATTGATCTTTTTACAGTATGATACTTTGGTCAGACTTTAGATGAGGAAATACTAGTGCACCACATCAGCCCTTCATTTTATTACTGGTTGTCAAACAAAAGCACACTAAACAGGAGTTTTGATGGGGAGAAATACTCTAGTATGGGCATGTTGCTTTCACTTGAATTAAGAATCACCCTTCTTTAAGCCAATAGAGTCTGTTGGGGTCTTAAAATGCTACTTGCTTTGAATAAGGACACCTACAAATGGCTTCAGTATAGAAAATATTTCAAACATTCTTTAAAAGAAGTTAAAGGTAAGATTTCTGATTCTGTAAGGAGCTTTCATAAACTTCAAAAGGTAGAAAGAAGTATTTTGCAGTGATCTGATCAGTGTTCTGATCCTGGCAGTGTTCTCTGTGTTTTCAGAGGACATGATGAGTCTCAGACCTTTAGGGGAAATGTTGAAATTTCAGGGTGTTCTGTTTTTTAAAAAAAAAAAAAAATGCAACCCCTGCCAGCAGAAATAATGAAAGATTGAACGAACCGCAACACATGGAAAGACCAGAACGGCCTGGATTTCTCTAACTTGGCTAGGCTCTTATTTATGGACAAAGTTATTATCCAGAAGGTTATCTGTGCCAAAGAAAAAGATGGTGTGTTTTGGGGTTGGTTTTTTTTGTTTAGTTTGTTTTTAAGATTAAGGCTTTCTCTGTATAGTTTGTGACCACCTTCTAGTCATGTTGTTGCTAGGTAGAGGCACTTTGACCAGGTCCCAGTTCTATAGGGTGGGGTGGATAGGGTTGTATGCAACTCTTAATTGCCAGCTAAGCAGAACACCCAATCCACACAAATCTTTATTTCCCAATTATTACCAAAGTTCCTAATTTCCCAACAAATCAAGGTTCACGTGACCTTTGCAGCGTGGCGCTGTGCTAACGTATTTAGGCTGGTGGGCACTGGGACCAAATACAGCTGTGCTGTTTTTTAGTCACTTTGTGCTCACTGTAAATGTGTAAATGTCTGGTCAGGGTGAAAAGCCCTGGGAAAAGATGCTGCTGGGAGTTGAAGCATTCAGCTGTTCCATCTCCTTGTTACCCTTTGGGTGAATTACAGAGAAGGGAATCATCTTAGGATTTTACTAGTGTCACCAGATATTTCAAGGTACTGTCTCTGTAGAAGAGACTGAGGACATATCAGATGTCTTGGAAAATCAGAGAGGAGAAAATTTGAGAGTCCCCTAGGATACTCATTGTATATCTAGCCTTCTAGTCAGGCCTAGAGGGAATTTTTTATTTTTGGGTGGAGATAAGCTAGGATTGTGCCTACAGCAGTTCATATGGTGCCTGCTCCTTGGTTAATATAGCTGCACATATTTTCTCACAGACATCACTGAGTGCAGGATTACACAGCTCTCAGACCCCTCTGAAAAGCAGGCTGTCATTCTCCTGTCCCTCACCCTGGTTCGATAGCTTGTGTAATCGATGCCACAGATTTTAGAGAGGCTACTTCTCATTTAAGTAAGAATCAACAGCCTGATGGATTTAGCCTCATGTGTTTTATGAGGCAGAGAAACATTAGGAGCAGATGAGCTCTTGAGAAAGAGCTCTGTTTTGAGAACAGAGCTGCCTG